TTGATTCCTGACTAGCTAATAAATCTTGGTTTCAGGATCTCCAGCATTTAGCAAGATATTTTCTTAGATTCAGAAAGAGTTAAATTTAGTAGAAGTTGAGTAAATAAATACACAACTAAATGAATACATAGGTAGATTTGCATAGTAATAATACTTCAATTATGATAAGTATATCCATAAGTTTAAATAACTGTTGGAAATTAACAATAAAACCAAATTGTAACGAATGTATAACACAGAAAATGACCAACATATCCTACCATTCATCTAACACTCAATGTACAATTCACCATGTTTCACATAATCACATTCAACAAGTGAGTACAAAAATGAGTAAAAAATGAATATAAAAAGATAAACTTCGTTTTTCTGATTTACCACATCAACAACGTCATTATCATCATCAATAACAACAACAACAGCAACAACATCATTATCCTCATTAATAAAAGTCATTGATCAAAGTTTAGGAGTAAGCATTCTGAAAGTTATTCAAAGAAATCAATCCAGGTAGACCATTATGATTGGACACTAAATTATAACATGATGGGTTTGTACACAATTTCATTGCAGTTCATACCTATTACCTAATACACTACGTATACATATGCTTACTTATTTGTTGGCTAGTTTTTTTTTTTTTTGTTTATTTATTTATTTGTAATATTTATATTACAATATGCAAAATTACAATTACAATTGTAATATTCATTATTAATTTGACAAAATTTGATAAAGCTGAAAACAATTTAAGGATCATAAAAATATGAAAACAATGAATTAAATACAACAAGCCTAGCAGTACTTAGCAGAGATAGAGCTCAACACATTGAAACATGAATAAAAATGAGCAGTGCCAAGCAAGTACCTACCTAACTGCCTACCTGCCTACTTACCTACCATGTTGTTATTAAGCTGAGATAATAATCAGTGATTGGCACAACAAAACACAACAATGCAACTAATGGTAGCAACAAAACAAGTAACAGTAATAACAACAACAACAATAATAACAACTAGCAATAACAATGACATATCATCTATTGTCTAAACATGTACACCTGTAGGCATGGCATTTGCATGTCACTTGCACTCTCCACAGTGTCATTTTCAATCACTCTTAGCAAATATACTTTCAGCAAAATCGCAAGGATATATATGCATGGTCTATTTAAATATTAATTACATACATATTGTGTATGCGTGTGCTGGTGTTTTGTGTGTGTGTGTTTGTGTGTGTATGTGTGCGTTTGTGTGTATGTGTGTGTTTGTATGTGTGTGTGATCTTTTAAAAACATACCTAACCAACAGCCAGCAAATAAATATAAATAGGTATGGATGGACAATGTCAATACATCAAGAATATTATGTTTCTCTCTCTCTCCTCTCTCTCTTTTTCTATATATATATATATATATATATATATATATATATATATATATGTACGACTGTGTATATGCATCTTTAAAACATTTGCTATGTAAGTAAATAAATTAATTCTCCTATTTACTCCTATATTACTTATAAATTGAAATTCTCTGAATATGAATAAGATGATAATAAAAAGTGATGCTGTGGTGATGAATGATCTGACATCATAACTACTTGATAATGTATTAGAAAATTGATGGTGGCTGCAGTGGTGACAATAATGATGAAAATGACGATGAAATTTGTGATGTATCATCAATCAATAATCACTCTGCTGAGATGAATTTATTGATTTTCCATCATACAGACATTCAGACATGGTAAACGTTGTTGTCTGCAGTATTGCAATATGCTTTGCATATACATACATGAATATTGAACGCAATACTTTGAAACAATTAATTCACGATTGATAACATTTTCTTACCATAGCAAACCACTTTACCTAACCAAACCGCATGCTGGTCTCTGTGTCATTCTGACAGAGCATGTCTTCAAAAAAAAAATGTGGAAATTGTTTGTCATTTGTCTTGTGTGAATAAGTAGCATGCATGTATAGTTTCAGTGGCACAAAACAAAAACTTCACACACGCGCGCGCACGCACACAAGCACACATAAAACTAGCAAACAACAAAATGGCACAAAAACATGTAAGAATCTTGTAGTATTTGAAACTGTGTTCATAAGATATAAATAAAAAAATAAGATCATCAATAACATTAACAAATATAAAATCACATTCTGTAACAATACACTCTCGACATGGAAATATTTCTAAAACTGTCAAATAACTCTGCATAGTTCATTACATTAAAAATATTTTTAAGAATTCATCTAAATCTTTTCACCATGACCAACGCTATTTAAATGAGCCATATATCAAATGATGAAGCACCTCTAATAACAACAAAAGCATAGCAATTATTTTAAAAATTTTAAAATTAATTGAAAGTCTGTTTGTTCAAGTATTTAATTATTAAATATAATTAAATTATAAATATTCAAGCAATAAAGTGATTATTAATTGACCTACTATTAGATAATTAATTTACTGCTTAATTAAAAAAACTAATACCCCACTAACTATAGGTATAGATGGAAGTGAGTTCAGTGTATCTTTTCTTGGAACTGTTTGGAACCCATTACTATTTCCATTACTATTCTGAAAAATTTAATTATCAATATAAAAAAGCTATTTGAATAGAAAAAATAATACAATATGCACTTGTAAATAATAAAAATTAATAAATAATAAATAATACAATGAAAACAAGTTCAGCAAAACATTGCTGCAAAACATTTCTACAAAACATTTCTACAATAAGATATTTATTAATTTGTTTGAATTTTAATTATAAAAATTATAACAAGCAAATATAGTATTTTAACAGTCACGCATGACATACGATACACATAAAAAAACTTATTAAAATTTCATGTTACAGCAAATGATAAATAAAATAAAGTTTATTTAGAATTTAGTAACTAAATTTTAAATTTCAGTAGAGTAGGCTAGAGGTAATCATAGCTGACAACTTTTCAATTAAATATTAATTGAAACAAGCATGCCATTAAATTACCAGAAATAAAAAATAAGACAGGAAAAAAATAAAATGGATTATGACATGATTAATGATTAAATTAAATAAATGATTTAAAAATTTTCACTAACGGCCAATGAGCCAACAGATCTGAAAATAAACAGTGTCCCAACTAAACAGTACCAAATGATCCCATTCGTCATTCTTCTTCAATATTTTAGAAAGCAGTCAATATGGAAAAAATAAATGTCTATTTTCAGTTAAAAACTTTTTCCAAATTTATAATATAAAAAGGACTCAAGTCAATTAAAATAACTTCAACAATGATCGCACGGCAGATTCTCAACATTGGTTCATCATATTTATCGCTCAAGAACCAAAAACAATTCAGTTTGTTAGTTCTATGCAAACTTATTATCGTACACAAAAAGTTGTTTCACAAATTATTATTAATTAATTTTATTAAAATAGTTTTAACTTATTTATATGCAATATATTATCAAGTAATTCTGGTTCTGAATTTTACACAAGCATCTACTCTTACAGTTCTGTACTTGTTTTATATCCTATTCATTCAAACACACTTCTGTATACATCAATAACAATATATATACACGTGTGTTTGTGTTTGCTTCTATCATTACTTTATCTTTCCAATATAAAGAAATGGAAATAACACTTTGAAGCATGATTTCGAAGCTTATGTTAAACCGGTCAATAAAAGATACAGGTGTGTAAAAGAATGGAAATAGCTGAGTTTGTGAAGATCATCGAAATGTTAGGAATTCACTCATCGTTTGTATAATTACGCGTTTTTTGAAGTTTCATGCATGAATATATGTAATATCCATGGTTTCGTGGATCAATAAAACTATATAATAAATGCAAGGCTCGTATGCTGTGTGCGGGCGTTTCGCTTCATAATTATTAATTATTATTGTGTTGTACAGTCAACGTGCATTTAATGCATGAATCTTTTTATTTTGAATTTGGCCGGTTTTACAGAAATTCCAAAACTTTCGTTCAGGAAATTTTAATTTATCATAAATAGAATTAAAGATGTGTTATTTTGAATCAAATATATAAAACCATTTTTTTCCATTGCGATTTCAAAGGTTTCATTTGAATGAAGTTTCTTATTACGTTTCTAAATTGGTTAAAAGATGTATTCGTGTTTTCATTTATAGGTATCAATCAGCATATTGCAATGTAATTGATATTTGCTCTACATTTGAAGTGTGCTTATACTAGCATGTTTGCGTATTAATAATATTATTAAATATTAATAATTATAAAATAATTATAATATAATAAAATGATGACAGTTATAAGTTAAGACGTTTATATATGGTGAAGACCTATATCAGTTCATCGTGAATTTTTTCGTGACCGAATCAAAGTTCCATAAGTTGCATGACTAGAGAGATATATAAATGAATACCTAGTTTGCTTAGAAAACTTATTAGTTATTTGAAAAACAGAAAAATAATCTTTTTTGTTTTTGTCCTCTTATAATCTTGCTCAAAACGGTGATTTTGTTTACTGTGCATCCTTAAAATCTCTCAAAACGTAAATACATAATAAGTTTTGATGGATCTTGTTAATTTTTTGCTGTACACTTTTCGTTAACACGCAAGGTTATGTCGATTATTTTGCCTGCGAAGGGACAGTTTAAACTTTCAATAGTAAAATAATTCACAATTCATGTTATTAGCTATAAAATTAATTACAACTGTAAAATAAAAAATAAATAATTTATAGCAATAAAATAATTTATGACTTATTTACGGGGATAACAAAAAATTTATTTCCATGGCAACGACAGGTACGCATAAATGAATGTTATCTTATCATTATGATATATGACATTGGACAGGTAACAGGAAAATGCAAACCTAAACATATATATTATATATATTATATATATATATATATTATATATACGCAGTATATATGCCATAACCAGGAAGCATGGAACCTACAACCATTTACATTTTAGTTGATATTAAATTTGTGCATAATGTAAAATGACAAAGTATCGAAATGATGTAACAAAGAGATTGATTTCTGCAAAAAAGAGGGAGTTATCGGAATTGAAATGCAGATTACACGAGAGCCGCGACAAACTGGTCGAACTGAGAAACGAAAAGAAGTTATTGCTGCTGCACCAACAGATACTGAACAAATGCTTGCGTTGCTTCACAAACGAAGGTTGGTTCATTTGAAGCCAGACCGTCTGCAGTAACATTTTGTTTACATTTTACTAATATATTTCATGTTACAGATGAAGCTTATAGTTGCTACTGCAAAGTTAATGTTGAAATAATGAAATTGGACAAGAAAAATGTTTGTAACCTAAAGCAGAACGTCTGTCAACAAAAATTGATTCTGAGTAAGACAAATGAAAGGGTGCATTCACTTTCATGTCACCTCAGCAGGTTGAATCTGTTATTGAGTGCTTCGAATAAACTTGAAAGTGCTGACGTATTAAAGGAGAAAATCAATGCTGTTGAGAGCGAATTATTGGGACGTGATGACAAAATCGAGGTTTCATATAAAGGTTTCATAACTTCTTTCAAATGGTTAAATCTAAAATGAACTGTAATGTTTTACGTCAGAAGTACAAACATTTAATTGAGGAAACAAACCAAAGGAATAAGAATGAAATGGCAGACCAAAATCATTCGTTGGCAAATGCTATCAATAACCTGCAGATAGAGAAAGATAAGATGTTCCACGTCGAGAATAAACTTAAAGTGAAATACAACATTTTTTAGATTTTTTAAATGTTGAAATTAATCATCTTTATAATTTTCAATAAAAAGCCGCGTGCTTTGTTAAACGCTTTTTCGTTATCATCTGGACTCTGTCACGATAAAACTTTACTTTTCAATCTTAAACGTTTTTTAACGCACAGTTCGTCACAAAAAAGTTGGAGTTGGCAAAATTAAACTTACTGAACAAGAAAAATAATGATGTTAGTTTTATTTGGTCATTATTTTAAATTATTTAAAAGTGCAATTTGATAAGCCTATAATCTCTAGTTTTAGATTTACTGATAGATTTTAATGAAAATTGTTAATTAAATATAATTTCAATAATAAACAGTCAATGGGCCGGTTGAAGAGCCGACATGCAGAACAACGAAGACTTGAAGATGATTGCAGCAGTAGGCCTAGTACTGATTACAAGCTGGCACATGAAAAACAAAATGTTGACGAAACTAAATCAGTCATCAAAGTTGATGAAAATAAAAAAGTATGCATGTGCGTGAACATGCGGCTACAAAAAAAGAAAAAAATAGAAAACAGTGGCCAGGAAGGGAAAACTACAAAACTATTAGGACCGCTGGCTCGTCGACCACCGCACAACTTTGCCACATCAACCCCTTTAGGCAACGATTTCAAAATTTTTGAAGAAAAACCAGCTGTGAACGGACCTGATCTAGTGGATGGCGTGAGTGACTGCGACGAAACAGCCAACACCACTGAAACAATATTTGACAAGGTGGGTCCTGGCGGTCAATCAACTTCAGCATTAGACAATCCGACTGTGAGTGAAATATCAAAAATAAACATCAAATACGAGAGCATAGTTACTGAAAGCATTGATGAGGAAAATGAAGTTAAAGATGGTAAGGAAAAACGAAACAGTGAGCACCTAACTGGTACTCCTAACACTAACAACCACGATGGTAGTCTGGACAACAACAATGACCATTTCCGTTTAAATGCAATCCAAAATTTAAATAAAAATCTAGAAAAAAACGTTTCGAGCCACAGCTACAAAGAAGTGAAAAAGTGCCATAAAGCGAAAAGTACTTCGACGGAACTCAGCGACAGTCAGAAAGCATCAATGAGTCACGAGTCTCCTGTTAGAAAGGTTTACGTTTTTAGAAACACCGTTGAGAACATGCATAAAGGTGTGCCCGCACACTCCAAATCTGTTTAACTGCTCATGACAATTTGTCATTCAATGGTATATTTATAGATTACATCTAGCTTTTGAGGTGCTGAACTCTTTTATTCATGTTTTTTTTTATCGATGCAGTATTTTTAAAGGCTTTATTGTTGTTTCTCAATACGAACTTGTATAGGCTACAATACACTTATCAACATTTGTTCAAAATCGACATCTACTTAACTAATGAAGAATCACTTCTATGATTAAATTGAGCGTTTCATAAGCTCCGTTGATCATATCGACAAATTTTAAATTTTGTTTTAACCATTTATCGATAGTTCAAAAGCCTTAATTACATAGAAAACTTATTTCTAAATAGCGATTACAATACTGAAACTAAGCCAAATTAAATTATCAAATTCCAAGAAATTTAAGTATAGAAATTGAAAGTATAACAGTGAGAAAGAAGGATAGCAACTACAAAATTAAAAGTGGTAGAAAAAAACAAAAGCGACTATGATATTAGCATTGAACTATGAGGCTAAAACTTGTAGTTGACCGGAACCGAAAAGTAATGCGTCATCATTATTATAGAATCAACCGCAATAAATATTCGGTGATTTTGTACATGGCTGTAAAAAATACATTAAATGTGTGATGTGAATACCACTCTGGTTTCCGAGTAAGGCCAGGACAATTCCAGTCAGACATTTTATACTGAAAATCAAATTCATATAATAATTTCATAACTTTATTATAAATATCAAATTTCGTTAATGTTATAATTGTTACTGCCACTTTCACTGTTCATAGCAATAGCATTGGTCTGTTTGAAGTACTCCCACAGTAAGATGGCTGCACTGACGTGAACGTTGAGAGACCTGATGACACCTTTCTGAGGGATCTCGATACACTCGTCCAACAACTGCATCAGTTCAACGGGGATGCCTGTTCGTTCGTTCCTGTCGAGGGTGGCAGACCAATCGCAGATTATAGATTGCGCATACAAAATTTCAAAAAATTATATCTCAACATAGTATGGAAACAAGAAACTTTAAAACCCAAACATAACCCTGAAATTTGAACATCTCACGCCACTTGCCCTAGAACGATGAGAGACTTCTTAGGAAATTTGAAGAAACCCATCCGTCTGCTGTTTGATGTCTGTTCCAAGCCCACAAGTTTGTAACCTCTGTTCCTCATGCTCCTCAGATAAATGGGCAGATTCTTTGAGGTCACCTGATCAATAGCGGGTGGTTGGTAACATTTATGAATAAGTGGTTCCTATTTAAAAATAAGTCACATAGGAATGTTCTGCGTAATAGAAAATCGACAATCAAGTGCGCAAACTTCCTCAATGTTCATCCATTTGTGGGATGTGACGCTCAACTTTTCAAAGCCCACATCGCTCGTCACTTTCAAGCTGCCGAGGACCAAACGTTTGATTCCGAATATTTCACATGTTCTGCACAATCCTCCATAAAAATATCAATTGAATCTTTAAAATTAATGTTTAAATAGTTTGTTGGAGTTGTTACGATAAATATTCATCGATAAAATAAAAAAAAATAAAATCATAAATATGTCGAACCAAATGTTGATGCGAAAATTTGAACATTTTTTCTACAGTGAATAACGACAAATAATTCAGAACTCGTGATCGATTCCACACTCAAATTTTCCGTTAATTTATAATTCTTTAATGACGCAATCAATCCTTAACATTAATTAAAGTGCAGACCACTTCGTTAACGAACGAACGCATTTGATCCAGCAATTAACTTGCCTCACCTCCAAGATTAGGAATGGATTCAACAAGAGAGGCCACCACAATCAAGTCACGATCTTCCATTTCCGATACATTCAATAAATCACACGCATCTTCTTCTTCATCACCAGCTATTTTGTTAGAAGATGATGAAGATGAGGGTGGTTGCAGTGTTGAGGAAGCAGTCATCGTTGGAAATGATGCTGCTGTTGACGAGAATAAGCTTTCCTTCAATGGAATAATTTTCCTTTGGATGTTGATTAGTTTTTCCTCAAGCAAGTCGTTCAATGCATACGATCCTTCTTTATAACCTGCTAGTTGTTAATAACATTTCAATTTTTTTAATTTCGAGCTTTGTTGTAATATTTTGAAATTATGTTTTCAGATAGATAACCAAAATTTAAATAGTATTCAAATAAATTCAAAAAATCACAAAAATGGTGAATCATGTCTGATTCAATTTAGTACAACTGTCAAACAAAAACTAAGCACAAACTAACGAGACAATCTAAAACGACATCATGAAATTCAGATGTAGCAGAAAATAAAATGACAGACAACTAACAAACAAGCAAACAGAACGAGCGAACGAACTACAAATGAGCAAACAAACAAACAGATGTAACCAAAACCAACATTTCTCATTTGAATCATCGACATCATCATCCTTTGAAATGTCTTTCCACGTTGACGTTTTCAGACAATTATTCAAAATTTCTAGTCTGATTTCCGGTACTGATAACGGAAAATTGATGTGAGTTGATGTCAAATGTGACGTAAGTAGGGATGGGCTGATGGATTCATCGTGACACATGTTGGCCAGCAGAGGTATGTAGTGATAAATGGCCTGTGTGCATGTGTGTGAGTGCAACAAACATTGGACATGAAACATTATCTGTAGAAAGACATTTGCTAATAAGCACACTTCAAAAAATATAACACAAAAAGGATTAACCCAAAATAACGGCGTGAATAACAAGAACATGAAAAATGACAAGAACAAAAAAGAAAAAAAAAACTTCAAGAGAGCAATCGAGCCAGGGGTCCAAAGAGTAATGATAACTCTGCTGCAGGCTGTGGCTCAGTCTGTATTGGACTCTACATTCACGTAGTAGAGCAAATTATTGACAACATATATATTCAACAAAGAATTATCATAACAACTAAACTACCAACAACAACAAAAACATTATCACCATAGTTGTCAACATAAGCCAACGAAAAGTGTAACAAGAATAATCATTCAGAGCTAACTTATTCCTATTCAGGTGGTCCGAGAAGTTCAGAATATGTTTGAGAGAAGAGAGAAGATCAATGGTGATGAACTGTGTGAGATGGTTGCACGAGATGATTCGTTCAACGTTGTCAGTGAGGTGCAGAAGTGAGGCCTGCATTGATATGCGCGTCTGACTGTGGGCCGTGCTACACCAGTTCAGCAACGAGTCCAGAGTCTTAGATGTCCACGGGTCCTTTGGGGATTTTATGTAAATAATAACCATTTAGCAATTTCATTTGACATTGACTTTAAGAATCTTTCATTTTCAAAACCAAAATCTGACAGACGCCGAATCTGTTACAACAAGCAAGACATTATGCACATACAAGGCAAAGCCTGTCATCATTTAATTTAAATAAACATTACCGATGTAGATAACGATTTACGAACAAACTTTTAAAGTATGAACATTTGAAGATTGGTTTGATAGGTTCTGGAATGATCTGTTGAGAACGTGGCTGATGATGAAGAACAATGAAATTGCATACGACGGTCTGCTCTTCAATTCTACTGAACCATTGCTCATCTAAACACGAATATTTGAAAATACCAGCCTTTTATAGTCAATGGCATCATCAACAAACTAGTCTGCAAAACTAGAACCACAAAACAACCAAAACAATAACAGTCGCATTTCCATCACGATTCAACAACAACTTATGCAAAAAAAACATACAACCAAACAAAAACATTTGAAATCAGTCAATTAACTGATTACCGGTTCCCAACATGACTTCAAATGAAACATCTCTATCCAAAGTTTAGCCTGAAGCATCCAGTTAATCAAGATTCATATTCGAACTGTTTGATAACTACTCACTTCACCATCAACATCAAATACAAACAAATAAACACACCCAGCAACAACCAGCCAGTACCACCACACTAACAATCATAAAACTGAACCAACCATGTCAAGTTGCTGAAGAATCCTTCTGTACAAATAACTTCTCTTCAAAGGTTCACCTTTCGAATGTTCACCTTTCGAATGTTCATCTTTCAAATGTTCACCTTTCAAATGTTCTGGCCTTCCCACATTACAAACATTAGCATGATTGCAGCCTCCGCCATGATGTTCATCATTAAAATCATCATCATCATAATTGGCATCATCATCACCAGCACCTAATGGGCATATCATCCTGATAATGATCCAACAAATCAGAAACCTAACGGATGGTTGGTTCTCAAGTTGCAAGGCTTCCAAAAACATTGGCATGATGTCTCTATTGTTTGCCTGGTTGTTTGTTTGTTTGTTTGCCTGGTTGTTTGTTTGTTTGCCTGGTTGTTTGTTTGTTTGTTAGTGGTGGTAAGTTGTTAGGCTGGTGTTAGTGCTATCATACATCCTATGTAATTCCAATTTCTCTTGTTGCTGTACTGTGTTGCTACAGATTCGTAAGTGTCATCGTAATGTTAACGTTGTAGTTGCTGTAACGTTAACGTTGTTGTTGCTGTAATGTTAATGTGGTTGCTGCTGCCTTAGTGTTAATGTTTTTGCTGCTGTAATGTTAATGTTGTGGTTAACTTGTTAAATATTATAACCTGGCATTGCTAATTCAATCGTTTGTTTGTTTTATTGTTTGTTTGTTTGTTTGTTATGAAAAATAAGAGTAATGCAATGCATTATAATTCTCTGTAAGCCCTACGAGAGATATGTTTAGGGGGGTCCATACAACCACATGATTTAAAGTATACAAATAAAATGTTCTGTGAAATATATATTAAACTCTGAATATCAAAATAACTAAAAATTGAAAATGAAATATTAAGCAACATGAAAATCTTACATGTATAAACCTTTCCATGAGAAACATGGCAGACACTAATCTCTGTTTCTGTCTATGCAACTGGGAATTCCCAAAACATCTGTTTTTTTTTGAAAGAGCCGCTTTGTAATTGGCTACAAGCTGGTCCATTAGAAGCGAAGAAAAATGTTGATGGTCACTTCTCATTGGATCGAGCAAGGTGAGAAATTTCAAAAAATTCAAGCGCGTCATACTATTGGTCGGAACATACTGCCTTTTTTATTACAAGATTTTTTCAAAATATTACATTAAAAATTATACATAATGCAAAAACTTCAAGTTTAAAATTAAACATTTTTTTTACTTTTTTGGTTGTTGATAAAGATCATAGAACTTCTGCATCATACTGTCATAAAACCTTTATAATGAATTGCTTTACTTATTTACTAGAAAATAATAAATTGAAATTAAACGCAAAAATTGAGAATTTGTAAAATTTCCATGAAATTATTTTATTTCTCCCTATTCATCATTATGACGGAATTCCATGACAAATTTGAATACAACAACGAAGATGTTCTTATACAAGCGTTATAGACAAGCAAACATAAAAAAAAAACACGAATGATTACAACCAAACATTACTCTCTCTCTCTCTCTCTCTCTCTCTCTCACACACACACACACACAAACACACATACAAACACGCACACACCCTATAAACTACCACCTTATCAAAGAGAACAACCATAACCGACCTATCTGCTTTATTGCTCAAGTTACCAAAGACTATGGAACGTGCAATACACTTAACAAGGCACGTGAGGTGCAGTACATAATTGGCATTCCTATCAATCTGGTTGTTCATCGCCACGGCAACGACGTTTAACATAAGAGGTCGTGCAGTACTCATCTCGAGGATACCTTCGTATATCTGATAGGTATCAAGATTGTTATCACTTTAATTTTACATTGATCATCAGATATCAATCAATCTTCGTTTAGCGTCCAGAGACACAGTTTCCCGAGGTAGGACGTTCAGATATGTTAATCGTAAAATTTAATAATAATAACTATGTATCTTATATCTATGAAACGAATGTTGATTTTTTTTATCATTTATTTTATATAGTTTAATTATAACAATTGATATATAACCATTTTTTAACCTTCAAACTTTTATTCACGTATTAATAAACAAATATATCATTAATATCATCAGGCTTTGTATATTTCATTTGTATCAATCATCATTGTATCCAATCATTCATATGTGAATTATCATACATACATCTCCTATGTATATCAATCAATCAATCAATCAACAAATTAATGTGAGTTAATCATCATATATCTTCTATTCATTCATTAATACTGATATATTCCTATGTGTATACCGAAAACATACACATCAAATTTGTATCAGCCATAAGTTGGCTAGCATCAATGAGCCAACCAGACGACAACACCAACAACAACAACACAGACACTTTCTGTTAACCTCAACAATTGCCATATCGACACTCGTCTCTTCATTATCATCATCAGCATCTGCATCATCATTAATATCACTTCCATGATGATGTTGTTGATGATGTTGGTGGTTTGTGAAATTAGATTGATGTTGGAAGTAATGAATGTTGAATAGAGATTTGATGAACAGCTCATAATTTTGGAACCAATTTTTTTTTTTGGAAGACTCAACCAAACGACACCAAGCTAATTTCAATAATCCACACAATGTCTTCGCTGCTATCTGAATGAATAAATAAATTTGTGTATAAAAATGATTGATTAACTTCTATTAAATGATCTTAAAAAAAATAATTACTTCTAACCAACTTAAAAACTTTTTTTATATCCCAAAACTTGAAACCACAAATTTGATAGAACAACCTGACGACTCAAAAGTTCAAGAGCCTCCATGCAAGAACTGAAAACCTCAATGGAGCAGCAATCCAAAGAGCACTGAACAAAGTTGAAAAGCTTGTCCAGGACAGAGCTTGGTAAGTAAGTAAGGTCGTTTTGTTGCAAACTGTTTCTCAAGCTGTCGATCTTCAACGGTGAATTTGCTGAAGTTTCTGATGTTGAAGTTAACTGATTTATAAAAGTTTGTGTTGCTGCTTTTGTTGAGGGAATTGTTGAAATGTGCACTGATGTTGAGCATGCTGAAAGACACCTCAACCTCCAAGAAACAACTTTTAGCTGGTTCATCATTAGGCCATCTCTCAAATCATTGCTGTTAAATGAAAAGTATTATAAATCTATGAATTACTATTATAAAAACATCATTTGCTTTCTTCCCGTTACAAATATCAATGCTGTACATTTCGATGAAACTATATTCGATAATTTCTTCCTTAACGAGAATGGAGATGAAGCAAATGAAGCAAGCAGCCAACCTCGAACATCCTGCAGGAAGATCAGCCGAGATGTCATGCAGCACGAACTTGCACTGCTCGTCAACAAACTTCAATACAGGTGAGACATAACACCTGTACAGTAGATCATTATCACAATTGGCAACAAGCTTCATGTTCAACTTATCTGTTCCTAAGGCCATAGCTAATAGATCCCACGCTATCAAATGCGATGGAGACAACTTGCTGCCCTATAAAACATAAATTTGGATCAACACATATCATGCATCTCAACATCAATTCATTCAGAACTACACAATATTTAAAAAAATATAAAATAATTTTCAATAACATAAAAGTTTAAATAACTTCAAATATATTTCAAATTCTAAACATAACTAACACACACACGCACACACACATACACGCACGCACACACACACCTGAAGTGATGTCAGTGTTTTAATGGACCAATCAATCATCTGATAGAACGCCGAATTACGAAGTTGACCTTCATCACAACAGACAAAAGTGTTTGAAAGTTGAGAGGACTGCAAGCAAATCAACATTTTGATGTATAAACTTTTATTTAAAACCGCCTCTCTCCCTGTCAGCACTCTGTATACGAATGCCATTATTTGCTCCTTGTTCTCCATTAAAACATTCCGCAATTTTAAACTGATTTCTTGAGCTGCAATGGTAATTACATAGAAACAAAAAACAATTTATGGAAAGTGATGTTAAAAATTTTCATAATGAATGATAAGAGTCAAATTTAAAATAGACTATAATAGGACCATCAATGTTTACAGTTGATGCATTAATAACCTTTGACGTTTGAGGTCAACTTGCTGGACAGTTCCATCAAGTTTAGGGTCATGGCAAAGGCCCTTTGAACTTTGACCTCACATAAGTAAGAATGTGTGGCAAGTTTTTTCAGTGTGTCCGATAGAGGATTGGTGAAGATATCTAGAAATAAATTTTTAAAAGTTTGAATGGTCGTATCACGCGGTTCGAGTTGGTTACATAAGAGTGACTGATAACAAATTTTAAATATAACTCCTGAGATCAATTATCAAAAAATGAACATTGTGCAGGTATTGGGACCAAAATCTCTTACTGAAAAATCTCTAAAAGATTCAAATAAACTTTTATTTAGAATTTATAACCAATAATCAGTACACCTAAACTATAATCCGTGACAAAAATATCAGCAGTAAGCAAATTTTTTGATGTACAGTTTAATTTTAATTTAAACTGACCAACAGTTAAATCTTTGTTAACAGCAAGCACCAATGAAATCAGATGTCCTACAAGATGATATTCAGAGCATTTGTCCAGTTGATCTGTAAATATTAATAAATTAACGAAAATTAAATGATTAAATTTATTTTGAAAAAAAAAAATCAAAATTTTTAACTAATGAGTTCGGAATGTTATGAAACAAAAAAAAACCACACTTAAATACAAAACCATGTTCTATCGAAATGATGGAAATATACCAAACACAACTAAATTATGTACGTTCAAAAAGTATCGAATAAATAATGCTAAGGATAATATCATTAGTTAATATTATTATATAGAAAGTAGAAATGACAATGATGAAGACAATGTGATGATAATGAAAATGAAGATGACGATGTGATGATTATGACGATGATGACGACGATGATACAAAATGATGAAGAAAAAATTGACGAAAGAGAGAAGTTATAACCCAACCTGAAACAACCTGATCATCAGCCAGCCAAGTGACAAACGTGGAGAGGCAGGAATGTGTCAGTGTGGAATATGGATCAGTGAGAATTGAAGAACTATATTGGAGGTCTTCACTCTTGCTTCTGGTCTTACAGATGCTTTTAGAGAAGCTGCTGCAACTGCTATCACTGATGCTGAAGCCAATGTTGCTGTTGCAGATGACATTGTGGAAGATACTGTCGTTAATGTTATTGTTCCTGACATTGTTGTTGCTGCTGATACTGATAAGACTGTTGTTGCTGATGCTACCACTACTGTCCTCAGTTTCACTGCAAACGATGAAGCTGTGAATATTGTCGGTGAGCCAGTGAACGAGGAGTAACCACTCTGGCGATTGAACGTGAAGGAAGTGGTCGCCGCCGAAGGGTACGCAAGACAGTAATGTTCTGACGTCACCAATTGTTAATTCCGACTGATGGTTGGTTATTAAAGAGGATACTACTAGTAAGCATTCATTTTCAAAAAACAATATTTTCAATGGAAAATGTTTTGAATATAACCTATAATGTTTCTTTTAAACGCTTCAAAATAAGAATGAAATTGATAAAATAGAAAGGTACCAACCGTATCAAGATATTTAGTGATGAAGAGCAGAATGTAGTATCTCGCTACGTACCTCACTTCACTCTGGAACGACATCACAGTCGCATTCATCAAAGTCCTGCGTCATTAAAATTGCCATTCACGACAAATTCGTAAGTGAAAATGTACCAAACGATAATAACCAACAACAACCCCATTAACAACATTTTTAACACAAAAAGAAACAACAGCCACAATGAGCACCTTACAAGTGGAATAATACTGAAGTTGAGAAAATGTGGCAGTTGAATGTTGAGAAGGCAGCTGAAGAAGTGGCACAGGACAGGTCCTGCCCAGGTTCGAACGCTGACCGCAGCCAACATTCTTGCTATGAACATTTCTGGGTGATTGATTAGTTGACTGATTGATTTGTTGGTTGAACAGTTGAACAATCTGAAGTCAATAAACCAGCAGAACTTTATTTACGAAAAGTTAAAAAATTATGACTAAATATAACTAACTCCATTTAAAACAACAATGAAATATAAATTCCATCTTATAAAACAAACTTGCCCATAGCTGGCTTGTCCAAGGAAATGTTGCTGAAAAATGAAGCCAGCGCAGAAGCCACATCATCACGAGAGGCCACTTTTAATGAAGATTCTTCCTCTGGAGATCTGAATAGAAATCCAAAAACCTCGAAATTCGTTTTAATGCCTGCACTTTTCAATTTATCCATCATCATTTCTAGAATAGCCATAATCATTTAGATAAACATAGAGAAAATTTTAAAACATTTATTCAATTAATAGATTTACAAAAGACAGAATAATGTTAAAAACATGTAAATGAAGAGCAGAGTAGGAACAACAGACAGGCATGATACAGGGAGTGTAAAATGTTAAGGAAACCAACCTGTAGAACAATGTTAACTGCATGGGATGATCCATCAAGACTTCTGTGAAAAACTTTCAACCATTCAACAGATGAATGAATGAATGAATGAATGAATGAATGAATGAATTAATTAATTAATTAATTATTCAATTAATTAATTAATCATTTAATAAACAGTTTTTACATTAAAAATAAAAATACTCTCAAAAAAATTACATACAAAATAAATATTGAGACTAAGAAAATAAAAGTACATTCCCTAGAAATTTATACACACAACTGAATAAGTTCACAGTCACGTTGGTTACTTTATGTACAATCAAACATTGGTTCGTCATTGCACAGATCATGAAGCATACAAACACAGCTATTGTTTGTAAGACATACACACAGTTTAGAGAAATAAACAAACATTCTGTAAACTGCAAGTACTTAACACTTCCATGCATCAAAACATGTGCAGATGCAAATAAAATAATAAAATAAACAAGGCAGGTAACAAACACACACACATACACACCAACATGTATACGTGTACGCGCACGCACACTCACATATACACAAACAAGCACACAAACAAACAAACAAGCAAACAAACACGCACAGCAATTACTCCACCACAGACCACACACAAACATACATAAGCACACGCAAACAAACATACTTGAAGATATATTTCAGGAACATGATGATGATGATGAACATCAGATGATGATGATGACGGCAGAAACTTCATCTGTAAGAATGTTGTGGCAGCTCGCCTTCTCAGAAACACACAATCATGCAACAACATTCGGTGGATCAACACCAACAGCCAGTCCAACCCTTCTTCAACATTTGTGGCATCATTTTTTTATCAAATTTAACAATTAATCGAGTTTTTTTTCAAATCAGAGCTTTCTTAAAATCAAAAGTTAGTGATATTTTATGGAACTTTGAGTGAACTTAAAATTGACGACATGTAAAAATGAAGGAAAAAAATAAAACAAACTTTTGCAAACATGCTCATGTAGAATGAGTGAGTCCAACTTTTCAAGAGACGGCTCTATGATGTGGAACTATAAAACAAATTGATAGGATATTAAAAATCAATGATGCAGCTGATATAAAGAAAAAATTTTAATAGTTGCAAAATACATATAAACATTCAACTTCTTTTATAAAACAACAAGCTCAGACAAAAAATTTCTAGATCTTTCCAGTGCATTTATATAAATTAGCAGCATGCAGACATGATTGCAATTTCATGTTTAAATAATTAAAGACCACAAATTAAATTCACCTGAGTTTCTTCCAAGCTCTCCATGATAAAAGTAAAGTGAAACCAGAACTTTTCCATAGAATCATTTTCAACGTGGAAATGAAGATATATAGAGTTGGAAAACCACATCTGCAAGGCAAACTTTTTAACAGCAGACAGCATCTGCTTGAAGAAGTACATGGTCCTCTTCCTCACCAGAGAATTTCCATGAGTGAAACCTTTGATATAAGTGCACCAAAATTCTGGTAGATCAGATGCTAAATACTTTTCAACAAAGTATTTTGCAAACTGCTCAGAGAAGAATGTTTGAGTTAAAGAACAAAGTAGGAACAGATATCTACAATAATCTGTAGAACTGTCGTGATTATGCTGATCGTCAGTATTTGTAAAACTGAATATTAAAGACCAAACATCATCTAGTGAAGACATGTCATTATCTGTTGATTTAGTCTTAGATAAATATGTAGGAATGAAATCCATCAATATAATAGATATATCTGACTCTTTCCAAGATTTAAAAATTTTGTTAAACAAATTCAATATCAAATTCTTTTCATTTTCAGTAAATTTCAGATCAACTGGCTTGAAAATGTCTCTAAATAATTTGACAATCAAATCAATTTTCTGAGATGTGTTGCTATTTGCTAACAGGTTTGCAACAATTTGCAGCTTAATTTCCTGAGTCAGATGTTTAAAACAAGTAACAAACAAATTAACCAACTGGTTGCATTCCATTTTGTTGTAATTGTTCAAAATATGCATCTGGTTAGATAATTCTAAGCAGAACCTTTTTAACTGAACACAAACAGCATCATCTTGTTTGGTTACTCTTTCTTGATATAAAGAAGAGGAGACATGTACATATGATGAGCTCGAACTGGATGAGCGCTTACTTGAATTGTGACAATGATGAAAATGCAGGGACAGCAATGAGGAAGTCATACTGACGACGCACTGCAAGTCGGAATGCTCAACAGTGGATGTGCATGACGAGCTTGCTCCTAGAACACCGGTTTCGTTTTGATTGGAAACAGAAACAGCAAAAACGTCTGAAACTCTGCCCAGACAATCCAACAAAACTCGTTTTGTGTTATTTTCATCAAAAAGATTGAAGTTGTCAACTGTTCGCTGAAGTTGTTGTTGCAGTTGTTGTTTGGACATTGTAGAACTTAATTAAATCATCAACATCAATTCATAATTTGCGAGTGACGATAGATTAATTAGTAGTGAATGTAATGAGGCCTAGTTCAATTATCACCATGAAAACAATATTAAAAGTTAATTTAAAAGAAACCAAAGAAAGAACTTTTTAATAAGTTTTTACCCATCCATATTCATTTTCTAACATTTATTCTACATAAATGACTGAAATTTTTTAAACAAAGTTAGCCTAATTTCATTCAAAAGCTATGTACAAAAATACTGGCAATCATCAAACTTAAAATTTCACACAACCAACGACTGCATATCCGGCCTAAACGATCTGTTATTAAAACATGAAACAGGATCAATGAAAGAAACGAAAAAAGTACTTTTAAGAATTATTCAGATCTTCAATTTTCAGATCTGAAGCGGTTCAGATATTGTAATGTTAATTTGTTGTTGAACCCGGACACTGCATACACTGCATTGCACATGCAGTGTCCGGGTTCAAATATGAAGAAAATCAAAATTTTCGAACTTTGAGTCTTGAATTAAATTATACAACAACATATATAAAGATTTTTGTTATATGAAAATGAGTCGTGGTTTCTCCAGACAATCTTATGTTGAGTGTCGAACATAAAGAAGCCTATTAGGAATAAGTTTTCGAAAATTGCTCTGTGCCAATTTCAGCGCTCACTCTATTAAATTCTTCTTGCTTGTACGGCAGTAGAGTAAAAGCACTGAGTGTTGCTGTTGATCAGTGAGGCGTTTGAGTATAGTCAGTTCAATTTTTAGCTCTAGCGGGCCACTCGTAACCTGCATTCTATTTTAAGTAGCTGACTAGCAAAAGTTTTCCGTGAAATTATAATAATTATGATTATTATATAATTATTATAATAATCATGAATTCATAAGAACTGAAAAATCTGTTGACTTTAATAACTGAAAATTTATATAATTTATATAATTTATATATATTATATATAAATTATATATATTTATATATGTGTATGTGTGTGTGTATTATGATATATTAATCACATGCATTCATAGGCATCAATCTATCAATTTATGTTGTGGATGCTAGAAGATATATATTTACATGGACGTGTGTTGGGTACACATATTATTATTTAATATGTATGAGTGTGCCTATGTATGTATGAATGAATGTCTGTATAAGTGGATGTATGAATGCATGCAAAATATGTATGTCCGTATGTATGTGTATGTGTGCGTCTGTATGTCTGTATGTGCGTGTGTATGTGTGTGTGCGCGCGTGTGTATGTATGTATGTTAAAACCAAAACATGATGAGTGACACTGAACCGTCAAACATCAAGTAACAAATGGATTAACACTTTGATTTGTCGTTAATTGCATATGTCGGCATTCAGTTGGATATTTTCAAGCACACAGACACGCAGGAACCGCTGCAACAAGCACGAAATGTGGTTAGTTGCGAAAAACAGTTCCCTGCTGTCGCCTGATCTGACGCTGATCATTTTACATATTGGCTTAAGAAATTTAAGGGTGTTGGGGTCCATCGGGCCGAGAACCTCGATACATATTGGCAAGAATTCCATCGAGGGGAGGGCGTTCCCATATTTTTTCATTTTCTCGTCCGCTGCCCTGGCCGCGGCCAAACCGCATTCTTTACTTGTCAGGTTTACGTATCGTTCGGCAAGGGTGCCAGGGACCGTAACATCCACTACGCCAAACATCTGCCGGCTCTCCAAGGTATTAGTGTGCATCCGTCCGGGCGCCTACCATCATGCGCAGAAATGCCAGATGGTTACTTGAGAACCTGGATTGAAGCCTTGGAGAAGAGCCGACAAATGTATTCGTTTAGCGCTGAGTGACGTAGTTGACGGCCCCCACCCAAGCGACAAACCAAACCGTGGTGCCCAAACTCGTCCGCCCCTGCGCCACATCGGCACGTGTATTTATTCTGAATGACCAGGCCAAGTCTGAAGCCAATGGCAAATCTTACAGACTTGTCGTCAAGCCTGGTGCCCACAGAGGTGTAGGGCCACGATCTCAACCACCCACAGCTGGCAACGCTGGACGTGGCCAGCAAACGAGCGGTGGAAAAGTCGTCGCCGCATGAAGACAACAAATTTTGAAAGATTTTTTTATATTCTTCGTTAAAAATTTGGACGTGCGTACGGTCCCCCGGGGCGGACACTGGGGGAAGAATATCGTGAAGAATTATAAACAACGGGAGCCAGCTGAACCACGGTAAGCAACCCCAGCCCACCAAATCGCACCGGCAGCTGAGCCTGGGACCAACCACTGTCGGTCACTTGAACATTGCAAATCGACGACAGGGCGGTGCGAAGGGCTCCGTCAAATTCGCCCAATTTAGAAGGGTCAATGTGTTTGGATGTACGCAGGAAGTACATCAATTTGGGCAAACTGAGGGCATTGCGGATAATAGTCAAGGCATCATGGGCCGAAAGACAGGAAACACGACCCAGGGCGAATTTAAGCTCAGAGAGCTTTTGGTCAAAAAACTTTATTTGATAATCGTACATACATCGTACATACATTGTACATACATACATACATACATGTATGTATGTATGTATGTATGTATGTATGTATGTATGTATGTATGTATGTATGTATGTATGTATGTATGTATGTATGTATGTATGTATGTATGTATGTATGCATGTATGTATGTATGTATGTATGAATGTATGTATGTATGTATGTATGTATGTATGTATGTATGTATGCATGTATGTAAGAACGTCGAGGGATGGTATTGATCGTCATAAGAGTGTTGTTGTTCATGTGTGCAGTCTGAGAATGTGAAAGTTCAATAAAGGACTGACGCTGATGTGATGACGACGAAGATTGTAATGATGATGATGATGATGACGGCGATAGGTTAAATTTGTAATAATGGTGATGATGATGATGATGATGAGGATGATGATGTGATGATGACGATGAAGTTGTGATGATGATGATGACGATGAAGTTGTGATGATGATGACGATGATAATGTGATGATGATGACAATGATAATGTGATGATGACGACGATGAATTTGTGATGATGATGATGATGATGATAATGTGATGGCCAAGATGATGACCATGAAGACGAGAATATTGCTGGTGATCAACAATGATGGTGA